AATGTATTTTGCATCGTATTTAGTTGCTCTGCGTATTGCCAAATAAGAAACCATACTCTGCTGCTAAAGAACTTGTCAAACCTTGTTTGACAGAGGTGTGTTGTAAAGTGTCGGGCCAATCTACTGCATATAAAATGAAAACTCTGCCTCTGTCCAATGATACTAGTGGACGAGGAATATGTGATTTATCATACGACATAGAAAGTCAACTACTGCAAGATATTCGTAAATCAAATGGATGAGTCAATTGACGTCTCAAATAGCGCCATATTATTGTTATATTTGTTATATTGACTGGCAATTAATGATATTAGAGAAGAATTGATGTGCTGTATCGAACTACCATCCCAAACAACCAGTGCTAAATAATTTAAGGCAGTCAACAATTACATTGAAAGTAACTCCACTGACTGGAAAAAATGCATCCGTTCGTGTACTGATGGCGCTGCTGCTATGACTGGAAGACATACAGGTGTTGCAAAGAGAATAACAGACGTAGCATCAGAAGAATTAGTAGTCACTCACTGCATTATTCATCGTGAACATTTAGCAGCAAAGAAATTGACCGCAGAACTGAACGACATTCTTCTGGAATCGGTAAAAATTGTAAATTTTATCAGAAGTAATAAAACTTTGACAAGAAATGGGATCGGATCATGTACAATTATTGTTGCACGCCGAAATACGCTGGCTATCCAGAGGAAACGTCCTTAACCGGTTGTATAAATTGAGACAGAGTCGTAGCTAGGGTTTTCAGCGCCCAGGGACAACTGAAGATTTCGCGCCCCCTACTGCTTGCCAAGGATGGAAAACATTTAATTCTAAAATGTCGTAACATCAGTTCTGCGCCCGGGGACATATGACCCCCTCTAGCTACGCCCCTGAATTGAGAAATGAGGTACAATTGTTTATAAATCAGAAAGGATCATTATTGAGCAGACATTTCAGAACAAAGAATAGGTAACCTTGATTTCATACCTGTCAGATATATTTTCACTGATAAATGAACTAAATTTAAGTCTTCAAGGTAAAAATAATACCGTTTTCAGCTTCTACAATAAGACTGATGCTTTCAAGAAGAAACTGAAACTCTGGTACAAACGTGCGGAAGAAAACACTTTTGATATGTTTGCTTCTTTGATTACATTAATGCTGACATGGATCAGAAAAGCGTCATTTTGGAGCATTTAAATGAACTTTCTATGGCTTTTGATCAGTATTATCCCCCAGAAGATGTGCGTTTTTAGGTAATCTGTGGATAAACAATCCATTTATTGATTATTACAATAACAATCTTATTACAGTCGAGGTAACAGAACTTATTGAACTATCTTCAGATCTAGGACTTAAATCACAGTTCAATTCAGTAAATACAGTGGTGGCCAAAATTGTGGACACTTTTGGAAATTTTTATGTTTTTCAACTTTGTATGCTTATAGGAAACGTTACGTTTCACAAAATGCAAACTTGTATATATCATTTTAAAGAGAATTTATTACTGAATTCAATACAAAACACAAAATTCAATTATTTGCAATACAGAAAAGTTAAACGATATTAGTTATCGATATATATTAGATAGTGATAATTGCAGTGAGTTATCAGTACTTAGTAGGGTACCCTTTATTTTTTATTACAGTTTCATATCGACGTTTCATTGAGCTGACAAGAGTTTTAAACTCTTCTTTCGTTAAGACACAATAACACGCCGAATAAATACTAATTCAGAAGTCAAACAACAAAAATCAGCGTTATATTTACAAAATTTTCACAGGACTAGTTTCGATGGTTTTACCGAACCACCATCTTCATCTGCAAAACCCGGTTTAGTCCTGTGAAAATTTTGTAAATATAACGCTGATTTTTGTTGTTTGACTTCTGAATTAGTACTCTTCTTTCGTTATTACATGATGCCAGGAAACAATTATAGTCTCAATTAGTTCCCTTTATTTGATGGGCGCCTTATTCGGAAACAAGAGTTTTCCAAAACGGTGGTGCCACAAATTTTCGATAGGATTGAGGTCAGGACTGTTTCCTGGCCATGACAACAATTTCATGCTCTTTGTACAAAACCACTCTTTCGATATTTTGGCTGTGTGGCAAGGAGCAGAATCCTGCTGAAAAATAAATGAAGCATTGTTGGGAAAGAGATCTCTGATGGAAGGTAGAAGTTTTGGTTCTAGAATAGTGTCAATGTATTTTCTGACATTCAGTGTCCCATCGATGACATGAAGGCGACCAATACCATCTGCTGACATGCATGACCAAATCATAATACTAACTGATGGGTTCTTCGCAGTTGCTTGAATGCATTCAGGATGTAGCTCTTCTCCTATTCTACGTCTTACATATTTTCGCCCATCACTACCGAATAACGATATCTTAGTTTCATCACTCCATATAACTTGTGACCACTGATCATCTGTCCAATTTAATGTGTTCCTTTGCCCACTGTAGTCTTTTTTCCGTTGCTGAAAATTAAGATAAGGCGTTTTTTTTTCGTGGAATTCTACCTCTCAGTCCAACATCTGTTAATCTTCTCCTGATTGTTCTTGAACTGACAAAAACACCAGCATCATTCAGATCACTTCTGATGGCCGCTGATGACATTTTTCTATCTTGGAGACATAGTCTTTTTATTCTTCTGTCATCAATAGATGTGGTGCACCTTTTTCGGCCTTTCCCTTCTTTGTTTTTTATTGAATTTGTCTCCCAATGTCGTAAACAAAACTTTCGGATTCAAGATGTAGTCACTGAACCACTCACCTGTCTTGCAATTTCAGCATAGGAAAGAGCACTTTCTCGTAACACAATAATATTACATCTCTTTCTAGGTGTCCAATCTACTCTTTTATTTGATGTCATTGCTTCTTGACTAAATATTAAAAATTTTTACAAAAATTCCTACTTGTAATTGCAGTGTATAAGAAACAGGTCCTCCTTCTACAGAACAAAGAAAATAATGAATTGTTTCAAGTGTAAACATGATGTCAGCTTCTACTGGCAGTTACTAACATTTGATTGGTTCTCAGAACAAGAACAGTGATTGGCCAGGAAAGCTAGACATTACAAACCACTTCATAACTGTGTTTTTTATTTATATTAAAGTACATATAACTTTTTGTGTTTTGTATTGAATTCAATAATAAATTCTCTTTAAAATGATATATACAAGTTTGCATTTTTCAAAACGTAACATTTTCTATAAGCATACAAAGTTCAAAAACATAAAAATTTCCAAAAGTTTCCACAATTTTGGCCACCACAGAATACCGCAATCTTCATACAAAGATGTTGAAGATTTTATTACCTTTTTCCTCAACTTACTTGTGTGAAACTACATTTTCGGCTATGACTGTTATTAAGTCGAAACATCCAAATCGATTTGCTCTTGCGTCTGCTCTACGTATTGCTGTAACTGGTTTTTAACGCCTATGCTTGACAGTTCAGTCAGCAACAGAGACCTGCAGCAATCTCGTTGATTTTAGTTTTTATTTCCTTTAATTTTATAAATTAATTTTTGCTATTTTGTATCTACCTATGCTGTTTACATTTCGATTCATTGTTGTTTTTGCTAATATATTAATTTAAAAAAATTAATATATCATTCATATTGGAATTTTCTTGGAGTTATAGGCAAGTTTTGGTAGTTTTATTCTCGATGCAATATTTTAAGTAAGTTGAATATACATATGTAAATTATAACAAATAAAATGCTTTAAAAATTATTTTTGTCTTCATAATTCATTTATGTGAAAAAATTGTGCCAATGCGTCGAATTATTAAACTTACTGGTCCGCGAGAACGTAGCGAAATATTTTACCGGTTCTTGGAGTAAATCCAGTTGAGAAACACTGATCTAGAAAAACTACTCTGCTGGAACCCAACAGGATACACATTAGTCTCCCCCTGCTCGATAATGCCTCTGTGATTCCTAAATTCTGCTGCCACCAAAATATTACTCATTGATTCAGCAAGCACCATACGCACCGACCCTGTATGTAACAAAAGGTGATCAATTGAGGTAACTTGAAATTTGGACTCAAAGAATTATTCCTGAGCTTTCTGAATTTAATTATAAAAAATGTAAAAATTTTAAATAAATTAACAAAGATAATGAGAAAACAGTGTTACAAAATGTACAGGAGTGGTAAGATGTCTTCTCCGCTGAGCAGTTTTAGTGTTGTCATAAAATGGCAAAGGAAGGCAGGGTTGCCACATTTAGAGAGAAATCGCCCATTTGGCGACAAAATTGACAATGTACCATGGACGGATGGAGAACCTTCTGGAACGAATTCTTACCGGTTTAGCACAGAATGTTCTCAAACACAAGCTGAAAGCTATATAAATCCTGCTGGTCCACAGTCTAACTGACTGTGGACCAGCAGGTATCGAGATGATGTCTCGTCTAGCGAGTCAATCCCTGCGGAGTTGACAGCCGGGCAGCAAGTGCCAAGTGCATCGAAGAGTCTTTTCGTATATCGCGGTTAGTGCATCGTCGAGAGAGCATGTTGAGCTCCAGGAACGACTGAACCGAAGAGTCGGTAGCCGTGCTGTGTGACTTCAAGTGCATCGTGAGTTGTAGCGTGGAGAGTCTCAAGAGTGCGTGGAGTTCTGAGAACGACCGAGCAGAGTCAGGAGCTGTACTCTGGTGCTTTGCAGTGAAGCTGTCTCCACCATTATAGCCTGATAACGTAAAGGCTGTGTCGCTGATTGTTCCAGTGTGTTTATTGTAGTGCTTCAACGACTGTGTAAAAAGTATTTTGGAGCTGTCCTGATTAATACTGGCCAATAAAGTGTGTTTCGATACTTCATCAAGTGCTGTCGTCATTATTCGCTAACAACCCAGTACGAACGTGAAGGAAGAAAATAACGTAACAACTGGTGTCAGAAAAACACAACATTATTTATATATATATATATATATATATATATATATATTATTTCTGTAAACATATACAAAAGCTAATTTAAAATTTTGTACAAAAACAGGAAAGTTAACAATCACATCATAACGTGAATCCTAATTACAAGATTCTGTGTAATAATCTTATAATATCCTAAGTAATTTAATTAAGATTTTAGAAATATAATTTGGCACATAAATAGTAAATGTGGTCCATACTACAGGCAAGTTCAGCAGTGATTTATTTTTACAATCACAGATTAATTTTTATATTGAACTTCTAAGATAAAGGTTCTTCAACCAAACAATCTTGTTTGAATTCATCAGTTAATGTTGTTTGACTTTTCTCAGTTTTGTTGATGATGAATTCATGTGAGCTGTGATTTGAAGTTTGAACACTTTTCTTAAAATTGTGATCACTCTGCATGTTTTTTAATGATGGTTTTATGATGGGCTTTAACTGCAATCCATAAATATTTTCATCTTCAAATGACTCATTGTTCTCTATGTCTGCAACTGATAAATTAATATCACTGGAGTTTCTCTCCATTTCATTAACCATTCTGTCTTCACAAAGCTTATGAAGATTTAGATCTGTTAATTGCTTAATGATAAGTTCTGCTTGTACCATTTTCTACTGCTTGATGATAGGCTCTGTCTGTACTGCAGTCTCCAGTTTCTGCACGGGAACCTGATCAAAAGGTAACTTTTTTTGTTTTCGTTTTTTAAATTTTTTTGGGTTTACACTTTTGGATAAATGCAGCTTATGTTTTATGAGATTTCCAGTGCACTTTTTTAATTGTAATTGCCAATTCCTATTCTTTTCCATTCTTTTAGACACAATCTTTTGTAACAATTCTGCACGAGCAGTTACAAGATGTGATTTTATTTCTTTGCTACATCTTGATTGCAGATCTCCATGACCAAGAGTTTCACTCTGTCCCAGCTCTTGTTGTAAAACATTCAATTCTGAACATGAAATGTTATATTGTGAAATCATGAGCTGATCTTGGGAACTAGCTAATAACATTTTTAAATTCTTGAACATAAGTTTGTCTTTAAATGCAAACAAAGATGGTGAATTTTCTTGAAAATGACAGCTTAGTTTTGCTTTTAGCAGCTTGAGAATCTTTTGAGTGTTAGATGTTTGCCTCATAGATACTGAATATTTGTATCTTGCCTTTATTTGCACTACGAGAAAAGAAAGTGTACTCAGTAAATTCACATGTATTTGATAATTAATTAGTAAAAACATATACAAAAATTTGAAAACATATTTAGTGAGCAGTACAGCCAATGTTAATCAATTTAACACTTAATGAAACTAACAGATTTCTCACACATAATTTTTTTTATATAAATTTGTTTTGTTTTAGTATTACATCCTCTTACATTTTCTGCCTGAAATAAATGCTTCAATTCTTCATATCTCTGCCATGGATTTGCTGGAAAGAAAATCTGAGACAATATAAAATTTAGTTCTACACTGGTATTAATTTTAAAGATAATCTTATACATATGGGCAGAACCCAGCATTGATATCTCTTCTAAAGGCACAAAATAAATTCTACCAAATTTCATCAATCCAATATAGAATTAATTTAATAAGTGGAAAAAGAAGCAAGTGTGATTGTGGTGCTATAAGTTGGAAAAAAAAACAGAAGGGGACAAAATATTATTAAAAGATAAGACACCTTTAACAGGATAGAATTGAAATTAGTGTTTCATAGATTTCCATTAAAATGTGTTAGGTTTCAAGCAAATCCTTATAACTAACTAAATTGCTGTGCATGGTGTAATGTGACAATCATTAAGCTGTATGAAAAAAACACTTGGTAACTTATGAAGAATTCAGGAGATTCAGTTAAATCTTAGTAGTTGAATGCAGAGCCATGTTGGGAACTTGTTTGAGCATGCACACTCGTATTGTTGTTGTTCGTACAATCAAAAATCTGATTATAAAGTTTGAGAAAACTGACAGTGTTGGTAATTGAGCTACTGAGAAAATGCCTGAAAATATTGAGAAAATATAAACTGTGTTTCAAAATGCTCCAAGGACATCGATCAGGCAAGCTTCACAACAGGTTGGAATCAACCAGGAGACTTTGTGACAAATTGTTCAAGACCTGCACCTCTTTTCATACAAAATTCAAACTTATCAGCCACTGAACATCACTGCTATTGAACAGAGTTTGTGTTTTGTCAGCACTACGGTAAGAATTTGACATGAATATGGCTTGGTTTAGCGATGAAGATGGCTTTCATTTGGATGGGTATGTCAATAAGTAGAATTGCCATATTTGGAGGGAATGAAAAACCCAATTCCACAACTGAGAAGTTTCTTCACCCCAAACGAGTAACTGTTTACAGGGTTCGTACGGTCCTTAAAAATCCTTAGGGTTTTTTTGTGGAATCGATTTTTGGTCCTTAAAAGTCCTTAATTTCGACCAAAATCGGCAGAAGGTTCTTAATTTTAATCATCTGAAATTTCTGTCTTGTTTTCCTGTTTTTGACAATACATTGACATATATGGTTATCTTTTCAATGAGTAAATCAGTTAATGGATTATAATTTGTTCCTATTTCTAATATAAACGATGGGATACTTGAGTTTCTAAGCAAAAAGTGAAACATAAGCATTTCAAAATTATTTCATTTTTTTCTAATGAAGAGCTTTTAAACAGCTTTTCACTTTTGGGGACATGAATTCTTTTATTAAACGGTTCTAAATTTGGCGACTTATCAATATTTTGGCGATTTTAAGATTAATTTCTATAGAAAATTTTTAATTCCGAGATTTGGGAATTTTTCGACGTTTTTTTAAAACATTGTAACACTAATCAATTTCATTAAAATAATTATATATATGAAATTATATTTAAAAAATAACATTAAAATAAATTTTTTTTATTTTTTCACCGTCACATTAAAAAGTTTCATTTTGGCAACTCATTATACAATATTTTGAATCTGAAAAATAAACAAGGTATAATGCTATAAAAGAACAATTAATGAACAGTTCTTAGCAAAAGAAAAATTAGCTATGTAATTAATTAATTAAAATTGTCTTCTTTTTAATTTTTTCAAGGTAAGAATCTTTCCCATGTAATTGTCTCAGAATATGTGCGTTTTCTCTATAAAACTAATTTTACACTTTTCCCTCTTTTTTTTTTTTTTTTTTTTTTTTTTTTCCAAACTATTTCTGGCTTTTTGCTGTTAACAGAACTGGTAAGGATTATTTTCCCTCAGGATTTTAAATGTTACACATCGGAAAGTTTAGAAGGATTTGAAATCATGGTTTATAGACCCACGATTCTAGAAGATTCCAGAAAAATGAGACAAAATGAAAAATGTCTCCATGGTATTAACACGCAGTAGATGTATTTTACAGAGAGTTTGCATTGAATTTCTTACTTTTTGGAGAACGTCTGAAAGAACAATGAAAACATAATATCTGAATGTTTTACTTCTGATAATAGAATCTTAACATGTTTATCTTCCCTTTAGTTTCTCTACTTTTCACTAGACACAAGCATGGAAAATATCAAAAATGCTTTTAATCTTATCACATAGGCAGGCATTATAGAAAGAGTTTTTTTATTAATAAAGAAATTCAAAACTGACAATTTAAAAGATTCTTCCAATATGTCTTACTGCATCATACACTGAGCATTTTCCCACCTGATGCAATCCCTAAGGATCCTAAATTCTGCTGCCTAGTGCCTTTCTAAATCCTGTTTCCAATGCCTGCTCTAAATTCTAAAAGTTTTGCCATTTCTAGATTTTGTTGCTCGATGTATCACTAAATTCTAAGAATTCTGCTACACTAGCTCTCCGGAGCTTACCATATATATTTCATATTTCTTCTGAATGTTCATATTGATAAAGAAATAAAATTAGCAGCTTTTTCTATACATAGCATTTAGTTTTTTTTAGAATAACAAAAATCCTTAATTAAATCCAAAAATTCTAAAATGAAAAGGAAACATATTGAAGAAAGAAACTGAATACATAAAAGAAAATTATTCTTCAAAGATATATACAGTTATTATTATGTAAATTACCCAGTTATTTATAATTTCAAGCCTTTACAATTTCCCATTTTTGTTTCCTCATATGATATACTAACTGAGACAGCTTAAATTAAAATTAAATTGTATACTCTTTGACCACTAGTCCACATTTTTAGTTTGAATTTGACTGTTCTTGTTTAATTACATCACCATGAGCTGTAATTGATTTTTTTTAGCATCAGAACATGCCTTTATTATCTGCATATTAAAGCGAATCATTGGATTTCATTAATCCTTAACGTAGTCACAAGATAAAACGCAAAAGTGTAAAAATTGATGTAAAACTTATTCTTTGCATCTAGTGAGACTTAAAATAATACAAAATAACTTATCACCTCTGGTGCTTTAGTAGCTTAATGGAACCTTAAAGTAAATTAACTGGGTTACAACCCTTGAAACACGAAGCTACGACATTAACTCCACCAGACAGAGCCCAACTAACTTTCAAAACTTGCCAACTGTGCCTACACAGGCCTTTCAGGTTTGTTCTAATCAGCAGGTCTCTCTCTAGGCAAGCAGCAGCAGTGACAACATCCACTCTTTTGTTATGAATCATGCTGATTATGATCTTGATTCTCATTTTAACCTATGCCGATTGACATATAATGTGCCTATTTACGGAACCTCTAGAGTGAGAATTTATGTGACAAAATGAGACATAAAAGAAAAATTAAAATAAAGCTAACTGTTAGTAAAACGTAAATAAAATGTCACGCAACTTCTTTCAAATATGTCCAACTATTAGAAGTATAAAAAATTTAATTCTACTTGATAAATTTCATAAAGTTTATTTTATTTTCAAACTTAACGCATCCTACTTACAGATCTATTTTATTTTTAGGATGGTATTATAAGAGTGAAGTTCAGGCATAGATAATATTTTTAATTGAATTTATTTAGTTCCTTAATTTTTGTCATTAATGGTCATGAATTTCCATGTGTAGAAATGTGTACTAACCCTGTGTTTAGTGTGCAATGTCAAGTCACGGATTAATTGATGCAATATTCATAGCAGGCAGAGTGACTACTGAAAAATTTTAGAAGACGATATCATCCCTTTTGCAGGACAAAGCATAACCCTGTCAGACCAATAGACTGTCTAAAATCCTGAAAGCGGTTTTGGAGAGTGCATTCTGGCTTTGGGAAATCCAGATGCCACTAGAATGGAAATCGCTTGGCCACCATATTCTCCTGATCTCAACCCTTTAGACTCATTTTTCTGGAGCAGTATTAGAGACAAAGTTTATGCAAATAACCCCAAAACGATCGCTGAGCTCAAAACGACCATTCATGAGGCCATTGAAAATATCGATGTCTCGACACTTCAGCAAGTTTTGAAGAATATTGTTCTTCATCAATGGCACGTCATAGCCACTGATGGCAAACATATCAAACATGTCAAAAACTAAATACAATTATCTGCAGTTACATTTCAAATATGAAAAGAATTTAACACATGAAGTTTAGTTTTCATTAGTTTTTAAAAATTTGATTTTTTATTTCATATAGCTCAATAATTGTGACCCCGTACTATATTTAAAAGAGGCAAACTACTATTCTGAAACCAAGAATGTGGGTTCAACTTTCACACAAGGCTTGATAGTAGTAGAGCTTTCTTTCCTGCTATTCGCAGACATACTGATGATTGTATCTAGTGACTGGACTGGATTGAATTTGATCATCCAAGTTACAACAAAGTTATGTATCTGACGGGGACACCTGCATGTGGAACATTCAAAGGAAAACTTGCTGTTATCACATAATACGTGTGAAAAATTATGAAAACCCCCATGCAGCCTGCCCATTTCATAGGATTTGAACCCTGAGTTGAAGTAACAGTATTCATTAACTGCTTCATACACTTACATTTTACTGGAAGAAAATGATTAGAAGTGTAAAAAAGATTAGAAGTATGTCTGAGTATTCTTTTTTTTTTTAATCAGAGGTGATTGGGATTCTATATTTTATTTAACAAAGTCTTTCATTATTATCCATTCATAAGTGAAAAATGTTATAAAATTTTCTTTAATTATCATCTTCACTTTAATGGCTTCAAACGCAAACTGATGCTTGAATTTAATAATTAGAATTGTTATAACAGTTAATGAGTTTACAGTAA